GACTAGTTGAACAGTGCCGTCCTGCTCCAGCGCCACGTCAAAACTGAACCCGTACTTCACTAACATATCAACTACATATTCCGTCAACTCCTCCTTCATGTACGTTACCATATCTTGGAGGACTGCATTCGCTCCCGCCTCGACCTTTGCTACTATCTCCTCCAAGGTGAAACCCCAAGGCGCCGCCAACACCAAGGTATATCTATACTGGCTAATGGCGCTGATTTTGAAGTCGTCCGGTTTGGGAGAGGCCATGGGGTGATTTTTTGTTCTTGCCTGGGCTGCGGCAGGTGGTGAAACAAAGGCCCTAAACTCCCTCCCAGGATCCATTCCTTCATCCCACCTGTTGAGCACAAGTTTGATCTTCGTCTCCCTGTCCTCTTTCTCCGCGTGAACCTTTTCACGTTGCAGGCAACTATACGCGCGCATGGACGTACAAAGCTTCGTCATGACATCTCGCAGCGTCAATGATCGCAATCCACCACCCATGGGACTGTCCTTTGGCGACATGTGATCGAGCCTGATGAACCATTTCCGTTCGCCGTCCAGAAGTGAAACAAGCTCATGGCCTGCTTTTGTGGATTTTAAAGTCTCGAGCAGTTCCTCAAGTACAGCGTTGTAGATACAGCCAGTGGTTACCCATGCACTGTGGCATCTCACTATATCTTCGTAGAGAAAGCCAGGGATGGCAACCTCATGGTATTCGCCCCCCTGTAGACCTTGGGAACTGGCGATTAGAGTGTGCCATAGCGTATAGCTATATGGCGTCCATGATGGGTCGCAGTGTGTGAAGAACGGCGGGTTTTCGGGGACGACGTGTAGGATATCTGAAACACAGTGGTGGGCGGCTCCGAAGCGTCGGGTGCATGAGGATGAATGGGAAGAGTCGTCGACGCCTTTCTTGGCGGCATCTTCTGCCGCAACGTCGGCCGCAACGAGGGAATAAGGGATTTTAAGAACACGCATTGTGGTGGTAATAGTGATAGTAGTGCTGTGGCTCTCTTGTCGTCCTTGGAGGTATGTAAAAGTCAAGGACCGTAGTAGAAGCAATACAAACACGCAAGACCGATTGCACCTGCCGTTTGGACCGCAACTACTTTGTGGAACAATAATTCATGTAAGTGTCGGGTCATAGCTAAACAGCCGTGTTATTAGTTCCTGCCGCTTGTTCGACAACATCATTCAATCGATAATAAATCCAGGGTCTGACTAAAATTGCCAATTATTTTTTGCTAACCCTCAGTGCTCGTAAAAGAGAGACGGAAGCATAAGGATCATGACAGTTAGATAGATATATCATGTACTATTGTATAATCGGTGTGACGAAGACTGCATGAATTGGTGTTCTCAATTGATCTGAGGTAAGAGCATATTATATGATGATTACCTAGGTTTGTCAAATCACAACTGCATGGCCAATGTTTTTACCATGTTTGCTTTACATTCTCGGCCACCGTCAGCTTTGTGATTGGAGCTTTACAAGGCAGCAGTGTGGCATAGGTTCAGCGAGCATTGTCAGCTCAACTGCCGTCATAAACTATGCAGTATAGTGCAATCGGTTTCAGTAATTCGTTACTCAGCCAGCAGCCTCTCGGTATAGGCCAATGGTGTTGTTTCCTCCCGCCAGTGCAAACATCTCGCTCTTTGTGGGAACCTTAGGTAACCACTTCGCGCTCCAAAGAGGCTTGTCGCCGTGCGAGTGGGTTGCAACGCACGTCTTAGTCTCGAACCGCCATACCTTTGCTTTTGAGTCGTGAGATCTAGAGACGAGGTTAACAATTGTATTTGTAAATCCGTAGTCGCATCTTACCCCGACAGCAAATACTCGCCGGTGTCGCTCCAGTCGAGACTGAGTACCCAGCCACCATGGCCTGTGAGGTTCGCTACCTGCTCACCCGAAGAGACATTATAAATTGCGATGATTCTGGCATCTCCTCCTGCTGCTAGGAGCTTCGAAGTTGGGGAGAAGGCCACACTGCGAATTGGGTGTACGAGGCCTGCTAGAGAGTGCGCGAGACGCCCGGTGTCGTTGTTGAAAACGTATATCGAGCCATTCTCATGTCCCGAGGCTGTGAAGCTGCCGTCGCGGCTCTTTATACTTGTTAGTAACGCCTCAGTCAGGATAAAAAGACAGCGAAGGCATACCAGATCTACGCACAAACCGAAGCTGCCTTTGGTCTCGTACTCGCGTATGCGGGGCATGCCCTCGGCCTTGTTCAAGCTCCAGACGTTTATCTTGCCGTTGATACTACTGCTAGCAAGGTACTGCCCATCTGCGCTCATTGCAATCGCCCATACCTCACCCGGCTTGTTCTGATCTGTAACGCAAGTCAGCACTCGCCCAGGTGACATGGACGACCCAATTGCGATGGCAAAGAAAGCGCAAGGCGTACCCACCAACAATCTCTCCATCCTCAGTCCATATCCCGTCTTCACTCTGACTCCATATTTTGACCTTGCCCTCGAAACCAGCACTCGCAGCCCGTCGTGCCTTCTCTTCGCGCGCAGTCACCAGGTGGTGTATGCCGAGCGGGTGTGCCTTGTCAAGTGTTTGTATAACTGGAAAGTCGGGCTTCGTGGTGTCGTAAACATTGATGCTACTCGCACCGGAAGCTGAGAGAAGTTGGGTACTAGTCGGTGCTACAGCGAAGATGTCGCTCGCTTTGGGATGGGCCGACTCGACCGTGTGGAGGGTAAGGTATTGCTTTGACTGCAAGCTGTCAGGACAAAATCCAGATGGAGATATGTATTGCGTACCATTTTGAAAGCGTGGTAGCTCTACCGCTCCCATGCGCAAACAATTAGCGAGACATAGGCAAGGCGATGCAAGGGTTGGCAAATTTCCAGGTCAATGAGGTCAGTAACTACACGAAAACGCGATGTCACAGGTCCCGCTCATCATCCCACTTGGAGCGCCCCACCTAACACCGAAGACCCCTAGCTTCACCGCCAATCAACACCCCGCATTGTTCCAGCTCACAATAGGCATGCCATTGACACTTTCCTGGCTATCGCGAAGCCTACTGACTGATTCGAGAAGTTGTATCGCGCGAGTAAATCGTTCTCCGCTACGAAAACCCAGCACCGCATACCTCACAAGCACCTGCAAGCCCGTTCCTTTGCGCACCTTCACCCACAGCGCCTTCACCATGGCTCCCACCGATACTGCCCCCGTCCCTAAAGACGCTCTCTCAGCGAATCAGCCCATTGTAATCAGCGGCCCATCCGGCGCTGGGAAATCCACCATCCTCTCGCGTCTCTTCGAAGAGTTTCCTGGAAAGTTTGGCTTCAGCATATCCCACACCACGCGCGCACCCCGAGGGACCGAGCAGAATGGCAAGGAGTACTACTTTGTGACCAAGGAAGAATTCCTTGATCTGATCGAGAAGAAGGGATTTGTGGAGCACGCGCAGTTTGGAGGCAATTACTACGGAACGAGCATCAAGGCTGTCAACGATATTGCAGAGAAGGGTCAGATTTGCATTCTGGACATCGAGATGGAGGTTCGCAATAACACGATCGACTTCAGGCTCAAGCATGGCTGACAAGTCTCTAGGGTGTTAAGCAAGTCGCAAACCATCCCACATTCCCCCGCCCACGGTTCCTGTTTCTCCAGCCGCCCTCCATGGAGGTTCTGGAGCAGCGACTGAGGAGTCGGGCCACTGATAAGGAAGAGGCCATTGTAAAGAGATTGAACCAGGCAAAGGTTGAGTTGGACTTTGCACACAGTGGAGAGGCACCTCATGACAAGATCGTCATCAACGAGGACTTGGACAAGGCCTACAAAGAGGTCCGGGACTTCATTGTCGGTGCCGACGCATGAGCTGTGTATAGCAAACGCCCAATACAGACATCAACAGTTTTAGCCGATGCATGATACCACTCGGGCAATTATGGACACAAACGCTTCATGAGCAAACATTGCTTCTATTCAAGAAAAAAAAGCTATTTAAGCCGCAAGGTTCTTCAGATACCGTCGTAGAAAATTCAGCAAAGGCCGTCCTACCACTTTGGGATTCAGACAGCCTCAGAGCTTGACTCTATTTCTAACGTTTCTCATCATGTGAACCTTGCCTGGCTGGATGAATCCGGCTTGTTCGACCAAGCACGGTATAGCCCGTCACCTCCAAAGGCGAAAGGACGGCTATCCTCAGATCCGAAAAATGTTTGAGGTGAACGTTCCTCGCCTCGAGAATAAGCCCCATTGAGTTACCCTCCAGCTCACTTTGTTTTACCAAAGCGCAGGAAAGGCAATCGCATTACCATAAACTCGACGAGAAGACCCTCCATACCTAACACTCTCCATCGTCCCCCAACTCCTCGATTCTCTGTTGCGACCCTCTGCATGCAAGCAAGGTAGCCAACGGACTCATGTCATCATCCAGGTGCCAGCCCCTCCACTCGCAGCGTCGGGAGTGCTAGTGGGATTCGAGTAAAAGCGATGAAGAGACGCGGAGAGGTGCCGTAGTCGGTGATGGAAGCCGCAGCTTCTATGGCGGTTCGTTGCTAAAAGTGCGATCGCGAAGATCGTTGTCCGGGGACTTTCTCCCAAAGCATTGGAGGAAAGAGACGCCACAAGTGCGCTCTGTGCGTGTGCTTCGTTGCGATTCTTCGAGCGAGGAACGTTGAGAGAAGAAAGTTGGCATGGTGCGTCGAGTTTTTAGGTGGAGTCGGGGAATCGTATCGCCGGGCGCTAGGCACACTAGGCAGAAGGCGGACTGGTGCCTTGCAAGGGTGCCTGGGAAGCTTTGGTACGGCCGCTCTTTCTTTGCTGGGGCGCGTTGGTGGTCAAGAACATAAGATTCGGTTGCGCTGCAGTTCCAATCACTTCCTTCAGCTTCCCAATATCCCGTCGCGCCTCAACCTTCGTCTATCAAGCGCGTCCGACTATCTCTATCACTCGACCGCCGCGAGATCCACTATTGCAGCTCGCGCAAAGCTCCATAGCAAGACATCACAACATCTTGACCTGCGCAAGAAACCACACATAGCCAGAAGACATGGCGCTTTTCGGTCAAGCTGCGGCGCCTGCTGCGACCAGCTCCACAACCGGAGACACAAGCAAAGATGTCGAAGTGCCAGCCGGCCAAGTACCCAGCGACAGCATATCCGACCTCCAGTTCTCGCCAACCAACGACTTCCTCGCGGTAGGAAGCTGGGACAAGAAAGTCTACATCTACGAAGTCAACGGCAATGGCGCAATGGGAAAGTGGATGTTTGAGTGCCAGGGCCATGTTCTTGGTGTTGGTTGGTCAAAGGTGCGTCCACGAAAGCAACGATATAGTATGGAACAGGGTGCTAACATGATGTAGGATGGCACACGCATAGCAGCCGGCGACTCAACAGGCATGCTCAATATTGTTGACTTCCGTACTGCCCCGGCCAGCGGTACTGTCCCCGCCCAGCAAGCCAAAGCCCACGAGAATGCCATCAAGTGCGTACGCTGGTTCCAGACTGGCGGCAAGGACTATGTTGCGACTGGCTCGTGGGACAAGACGGTCAAGTTTTGGGATCTACAGGGTGCTGAGCCTGTCGGTACTCTGCAATGTCAGGAGCGCGTCTACAGCATGGATGTCAAAGATCAATTACTCGTCATTGCGACAGCAGAGCGCCACATCCATATGGTCAACTTGACCAACCCCACGACCATTTACAAGACTATCACCAGTCCACTTAAGTGGCAGACAAGGGTGGTTAGCTGTTTTACAGATGCCACTGGTTTCGCTGTGGGCTCCATTGAAGGCCGATGCGCCATCCAATACGTTGAGGACAAGGATACCAGGTAAGCACTTTATACTTTATGGATCAGTGAGCCCAGCTAACATACTTGCAGCCTCAACTTCTCTTTCAAGTGCCACCGCCAACCTGACCCGAACGCTCGCGAAACCGCAAAGGTCTTCTCTGTAAACGCCATTTCCTTCCATCCACAACACGGCACTTTCTCCACCGCCGGCTCCGACGGCACCTTCCACTTCTGGGACAAGGACGCAAAGCACCGCCTCAAGGGCTACCCTGAAGTCGGCGGCAGCATCGTCGCGACGAGCTTCAGCAAAGACGGAAACATTTTCGCATACGCAGTCAGCTACGACTGGAGCAAGGGCTACGGGGGCAACAACCAGCAGTACCCCATCAAGATCAAGCTTCACCCCATTCTAGGCGATGAATGCAAACCACGTCCTGGAAGCAAGAAGAGGTAATCCCTAGATACTCTAGGGGTCATCCTATGTCTCCCCCTTTTAGTTTCACTTGCTTCTTTATCTCGCTCGGGGCCCTTGCGATTTATAGCGCTGACATAATTCCCCCCTCTTTGAAGAACGGACGCTTACATGTATGATGGCGAGGACAACGGTGGTGGTGGTAGTAGCAGCGAGAATGGAAAAGCACCAATCGACAACCTCAAACGGATGAGGGGACAGTAGGGGGACTATAATGTCTCATTAAATCTCTCTCTTTCCGTCCCTGTCGACTGTCTACACGCTTCTAGAGAGAGGATCACATGTTCCACATATGTGCTCCCTCTCCCCTGTTATTAGTTTGGGTGCTTTGATAGTTTTTTTTGGGTTTTCTCAGGCATTAGCGCTCTTCACTTTTTTTTCCAGTGGAATGGTGAAAAACATTATTGGCATAACGAATATGGTTTACTTCCACTCCTCACGTCCCCATCCCTTGCTCTACATCTGAACGTTCACCTAAACCTGTGAAATGTCTAAATAAAAATTACTACGAAATATGGCAATGAGTACCAAGTAGGGGTTAGTTAAGAAAGGGGGAGGAGGGTCTTTATCCACAGGCAAATATCTAACGAGAACTAGGAAATTAGTTTGTTATCTAATCACTTATCAAAACGGCCATGTGATTTATCTTTACCCTTGAACCACCCCCCCCCCCCCAAATCGCTAAATGTAAACTGACCATGGGGTAAAGCAAAAATATACCATAACTTCTAAACTTCACCCTCAACGTCCTAAGGCTTTTGAATTTGTAACACGTGTTTCATACGTAACCGTTACGGTATCTAAACTCCCCCAAAACGCCTTGAACCGCATCTGTAGTACGACGCACCCAAAAACACCTCGCTCATCATGACCAAATAATGATAAAAAGTTACAAATGCATTGCGCGGCCGTTCCAAGTCCACCAACTTCCCACACTTTTCTATGTGCTGGTCACACCCGCGTTGTTCTCAGCACCCGGCGGCACATCGACCTTTTGCTTCTTTGCGTCCGGTCCCTCGACAACAGCAGCTGTTTGACCGTTCACACCCACATTACTAACGTCCTGTAATGCTGCCCTTTCCCTCTTGATGCCGTTTGGTCCGTTGCCGTTGGAGAATGTGGGGGGTTTGTAAGCACCACGGTTCGCACTGGGGCTCATGGCGTAGCTGGGCGCACCGGGCATGCCAATTCGTCGGTTGCTGTCGAGATGCGGGTTTACTATGTTTGGGCGGTTGAAAGAACCGGTTGATGGGGCGCCAGGTCGTTGGGGTGCAGGTTGAGGGGCGGGGGGAGCGCCTACGGCTTCACGTTTAATAGGTACACTGCGTGCGTGGTCGATGCCAGGAGTTCGTTTCTCTTTTGGAATAGGAGATTCTGCGTTGGGATTGAATTGTGGGAGATTGTTTAGTGTGGGCATTTCGGAAGCTTGGAGGAGCTCAGCAGCGCGGGAGGTAACGAATCCGACAGATGGTCGTTGGTTTAAAGCCGTTAGATTCGTTGCTGGCGTTGTTGTGGGCTGGGCCTGAGGTCCTTGGCGTTGTTGGTTAGGCGGCTGTTGTGCTTGTGGAGGGTTGGGTCGTGGAGGCTGGTTATTGGGAGCTGGTTGGTTATGCTGTCCAACAGGCCTTGATGCAGCTCCATTTTCTGCAGCAGGTGGAGGCATACGTCCGTTATTTTGCACTGGGCGTGGTTGCTGCTGAATTGGTGTCTGAGGTTGTCGGCCGTGTTGTACTTGCGGTAAAGGCCTTCCGGGTCCTTGGTTGGATGGATTCTGTTGTTGTTGTTGTTGTTGTGCTGCTGGTTGGCCGCGACCTGCTTGTATCGGCCTACCATTGGGCTGTCGAGGAGGTCCTGTATTTCTGATTGGGGATGTACGGCTAGACGATATGGCTTTTGGTTTCACTGACTCTACTGTGCGTGGTGCTGTAGTTTCGGGAGCAGAGAGGCCTTCCGAGAAGGAGAATTCATCGCCGTGCCCCTCAGAAACATCAACTCCATCAAATAAATTCTCGTCGGTTTCGTCATCAAAGTCAGCCCCAAAAGACTCATTATTCAATTGATCGGTACGTGTTCGAAGAAGGTGGTCCGGCCTGGCTGGTGTTGTTAGGGCTTCTTGTTTGACTACGGCTTGTAGTTCGGGTTGAGGTAGCCGCGGTGCAAAGTCGACATGGCGATAAAGGTTTTCCTCCTGAAACTTGATGGGCTTGACTTTCATGGCCTGGACTTTTTTGAGATATTCCTTATCGTACAGACAATTGCCGAGAACGTTGCCAAATGTGCGTAAAGAACGTTTTAGACCATCTGTTGCGGCCTCTTTCTTAGCCTTTTCGAACGATGCGGCTTTGCCTTTGCCATTCTCTATTGATCCGTAGCCAATGTCCTGGAACTATGTCAATATGATCCGGGAGGTTGCGAGCAGTTATACGAACCTCATGGTATGTGCCATCCTTGAGCGTAATCCTGACTACTATCGAGAGTCCAAGGCTCACCTTACCATTCTGGTGCTCGTCGACCTGCCCTTGTTAGCCTGTATTTTGCCACTGAGCATAATGAGCCATACATAGTCAATCTGCACCTGTCCTAACGAGCTTGACCAGCCATTGAATCCAAAAACCTCGTTCGCAAGCGCTATGGCTTTGTTCCCCTCCAAATACGCCACTCTGCCACCACCATTACCGGGTCGTTGCGATATATATTCGGGGCCGAGTTGCTTATTTAATTTGCCTTGTAGTGTGGCAATCTCTGATGGTGTAAAATTGCTGTTGACGCGCTCTTCGAATGGGTTCTTGACGTTGCCGCCACTGTACTGGTCGCCTGGCCTGCAGTTGTATTAATTCCCGTTTACTGGAATGTATACCGAGGCAAAAACGGGCGCGCGGATCCACAAATCTACTTACGCGGGCATTTTTGGTGTTGTCAAGGTGTGGCAATCATCAGTCGCTGCTCTGGTGAGGTTGAAGCCTAGCGGTTAAGGATGACGCGCCGCACCGTGAACTTGGAGGAGGAAGGAACGCGATCGCGCTAGTCCCGCGCTCACGTGCCGACAAGGCAACATCACCCGTGGATTACTGCACTAACAATTTCTAACTCAATCGAGATAGTGCATTTGTGTAGGAACGAAGATGCCTAGTCTCATCACCGAACAACTTCTTCAAATTATGTTGTTCAATACAACAGTCCGATTTGCATTATGTCCCTGCTGGTCGCCTGATAGATCTTCAGAACCTGAAGAATAATTCGTCTTCAAAATAAAGTAGCGACTTGGATCAAGCCAACTCACGAATGAAGCCAGCCACTACCAGGATTTACTGAAATTCTGATGTTACTGTGTCGGTTCCAAGATGTGGGGTGCTAGCACTCCGCAACCCGTTCCATGGCGGCAGAATTGCGATAGGCATGCCTCAATGCATTTACTCGTCTCCGTAACACCAAGGCCCTGTATTGGCGCTCAAGGCAATGCATGCAATATGGGGCTGGTTTGAGCACGAGAGCTCTTCTCGCAGAGATACATAACTACAAATCTCATTATCTTTAGTCGTTGTTGAGGTGTTCACATCAAACACGTAAGCCGCCATGGCCAGCGCCAATCTTCCATCTCTGCAACTTCTCGTTGAATGCATCAAGTCGCCTTGTTCCTTCCTGTTGCGTCCAGTAGTCCAGAGACTGTCGTAATTCTATAGCCCCTTCTCTTCAGCTCTGGGAGCACTTTTCTCAACATCACGACCGTCCATTCTCGCCGGTCGTGACATATGATGATACTCCCAGGCCGCACCATGCTTAGCACATGCCGTGCGTTCACACTCGGGTAAGCAATCTGAGGATCATGAGGATAGACGCTTCCCAGAACCATCTGATAACCCATTTCTTTAATCTGTCTGCGCATCCTTGTGCTGAAGAAGCCTGATCCAGGTCGAAAATATCGTGGTGGATGCGGCAGATTGACAGCATCATAGGTCCCGTTGATAAATCCCTCTACTTGTCGAACTTCTGACTCGAGAACTGCTGGCGTCAGGGAACGAGATGGCTCGTCATGCATGGCATGATTTCCCAATTCCATTCCTGCTTTTGCTGCATGTTGGAGAATTGTCTCTCGCCCACCAACTTGGCCTCCGATGACGAACAATGTTGCTTTTGCTTCGTTCTCCCCCAATACTTTGAGAATATCCAAAGTGAATTCTGAAGGAGCATCATCGATCGTCAAGGCAACAACTTTATCCATCTCTTCCCCATTTCGTCGCAGAGTAGAAGCAGGCACGTGCCATAGCACATCTGGCCACTTTTGTTGGAAATAGCGGATCAGAAGATTCGGGGGCTTGTAAATGACATAGAATGGCAATATGAATGTAATTACCACGCATATAGCGGTAAGCATCGTGTATATGCGTCGCCGGCGCGCGGCACGGGTGTAGGGGAGGCGAAAGATGCGCAAGGGGAATCGGGGCATGATATGCCGTTTCGCGGTTGAATTTCCGGATCGAGACTGGACATAGCTGACACCTTCAATGAGAAAACTCCTGTGTGGGTTCACAGGCGAAAGCCGACATGGCTAGGGATGTTGGAATTGAGTATGAGAGCTGGTTGCGGATAGGGTGGTTGAGGGGGCAGTTACAAGGATACCAAATGAGGATTAGCGCCTGCACGTGCAACCGTGCATCGCGGAATTCAACTGGAAAACTTTCTGTCGTTACCTCTAGCATCCTTCTACCTCCATTCGCAACGCTACAACTACATTCAACGACTGTCCTCACATCGATACCAATGTTTACATCGATTGCATTCTGACAGAATGAGAGTACGGTTAGTAGACAAATCTGCTGCTCATCGCAGTCTGGTTCGCATACGTGGACGAGGTAAATTTGAGTTATGCTGTCCAGTTCCTCAAACGCACCCGCTCCAATCAAACTTCTCCCTCTTTCACTGATGAGCGCACGGCGACTTCATCCCGATCGCAGCTGTACCACGTACATGCAGATCCAGGAACCAATTTGTCACGCTTGGTCGAACAGTCCCACCTTCGATATAAGCCCTCTAAGAATGTTCCAAGAACGACACCGTGGACGTTTAATTGACCTGGCTGCCTTATCTTGAATGGCTACTCGGGTCTCATTGCGTTCATACATATTTGTGGCTGGCGATGTCATTCTGCTGACTGGGTCAGTCACGTCCTATGGATTGGCTCGAACGCATATTGTATTGCCAAGACGTGGCTTCTGTGACAACTATTGTGGGGAGCCAATTGTAGGCAATTAGTCGCACTATAAACAGTGCCTGAGGGTGTGCCCGTGATGTGATAGTGATGATGCTGATACTGTGACCACGAAGTCCATGCACCCGTGTCATAATACGGGGTTTCCGAACCATGGTCCCGTTATCATGCACCATGCGAAGCATCGGGTCAGCGGGTGAGCGGGAGAGCTCGGATGTTGCGTGATATCCTCAGACGGCGCATCTTTTACTAGAATTGCATAGTGACTTTTATCATGTGCGTCTCGGTGCAAATTCCAACTTGGATGGGTAAGATCCAGGGCCCTTCATGCACGAATTCCACCCTGCGTATCCCAATCGGTTGATCAGTGCAAGGAATTTGAGACTTGAAAGATATAACAGCTGAAATCCGTCTCGAAATTCTTCATCATGTTCTAGGGCGTGGGGGGGAGAGGGGTTTTTTCTGAAACTTTGCTAATCTAGGTATTGCTGTGGCCATATGCTGTACGAAAATGAGGCGCGAAATATTGTCTTGGATGTGTCACTGATGACTGATCCGCAGATGCAAGTTGGCCGATTAAACCGCATGATTCGATATTTGACGGCACAGAGCAAAGCCCCGTTCATCCACAATTAAGAAGAGAAACGGGACGATTGTTGGTGTTTCATCGGGTGCGTGTTGCCGCAATGCCCTATAGTAGCATTGGGGACTTGCCATCAGGCCCGTCAAGGTGATGGTAAATAAGCGCTCGGAGAAAGAACCATCTGGGCCTAATCCAAGTGGTAGCTTGAGCGCTGACCGCCTTGCCCAACGTCGAACGATGGCGCTGCCAAAACATGGGCGACGCGTATACAACAACACGGGGTAAAGTTTGTCCTACACCTGGTCGGGTGATTACGGTATCGGATTTTCGAGGAGACAAAATAGTATTTTACTTTTGCGAGAATATAGTTTATGGATGACAAGTGCGGCAAAGTTTCACAAACATTTGGTCCGGGACCAAAGTGCTTGTTTCTGATCGGTGGGAACGGCGTAGGGTACAAACAGGGTAAGCGGCTGCTTTCAAAGTGCCAGGAGGCAACCAAGAACCAGGAGGGTTTCGACATGAAAAGGGCCGATATACACGAAGACGAACGGGGTGAGACCTTGATCCGACGAGCATGAACCTTGTCGCAGTAGTTCCGCACACTTGGGTAAGGTTTGCGGGATGTGACACCGCAGCTCGGGTAAGCTTACAGCTAAACAATGTTCATTCGTATGCGCCGGCTTCCGATTCACAGGGTTAGCTTCGGTAACCCACCACCGCCATCTCTGGCACGACCCTCACAATGTACTTGGTGTCATTTATGATTGAGATAAGGTTTAGCTACGATCGGCACATGTATGTCATGCATGGCAACTAGGGCCGTTGCCCTCTCGGTTGCCCACTGGGAGCTGGAATACTGGCTTGGCTTTGCGAGCTTGCCATGCCGCCCAGATCTACCGATGAGTGTATCTCCTGACAAATGCTTCAGCTAAAGGGCGGCTTGTTAGGTTTCTTGATGAAGATGTGGGGGCGGCTTCTGCTGGTTGCCTGACTAAGCTAACAGGCTTTGGCGAGCGGTGGTGCAACAATGAAACGTTCTCGCTTGTACGCTTGGGTTCGTCGGGGTGCAGCATCGGGCTTGCAGTATCTAGAGTGAGATCGAAGACAAAGACCGCTGTGTCGGTAGGTGAGTACGAAGCAGAATGTAGAAAGTGTGCTTGTCTTATATCCGTATCCTACATGTGTATTGTTACAGAGTCGTGAATACATTAAATTTTACAAGTAGGACTCTCAAAGAGCCCCTTGTCGACGTCGCGGCTGTGAGGGACCTATCGACGCTTGGCCGATTCCGACATTTAGGCGGATGGGGATCTAGGCTTTCTCGTGCCAATATTATAACCCCAGCTCCTCAGGGTTTTTACGACCTTGGGCAGCACAGCGGCAGTCAGTGGCACGCGGAAGAAGATTAGAGACTTGTGGACAAGGTAAGCTAGACCAAGTTGGGTCCAGATTGCTGCAATGCTTGTCAGCCACGGCCAGATGTTCACAATAGAAGGAGGGATTCTGCATACAAGCGTCTGCGCCACCATTGTGTCCCGCAGCCCTTCCAGCTTCCACATAACCGTCTCTGTCAGTGGCTTCTGCAACGCCTTCATCTGCGCCTGCTTCAGCTGGCTTTCTACCCGCGTTGGGAAAAGCTAGGCGCACCACGCTCCAGAGCGCATCCTTCAGCACATGCTCATAGTGGCCAATTCTATCGGTTCCAAGTAGGCGCACTGCTAAGAAGCAGAGTGGGAAGTCGAGGAGGGACAGACCCAAGTACACGGCAAGCGCGGTCCAGCCATACTCGCGAGAAAGCTTCTTGAGCCGCTGCGATAGAGAAGAAGCTGGCTCTGGGCTACCTAAGTGGGGTGTGGGGTTGTGCGACTGGGCGTTGGGCCTGTCACTCTTGAAGCGAAGGAAGCGGAAGCGGCGGGCGAGAGCGGGACGTTGGCAGCGGAAGAGGGAGAGGGCGCTTCGCTCGATGGTCTCATTGACGGAGCGCAGCCGAGGCGTGGGTGGGGTGGAGGTGAAGAAGTTGCGCAGGAAAGGTGATGCTGGCTGTACTGTGCGGCTTCTGGTAGTGTGGCCGAACAGCAGCTGGCCAGGCCCGATGCGTGCAACGCGTGGCTTCATTGCATGAGTGGCTCAGGAGGGCAGAGGTGAGTGAAACGCTACTCACGTGGCCGTCAGTCGTTTCAGACTCGGATACGGCGTGTGGTGTTCCAGAAGTTCATGCCAAAACCGACGTCGATGCAGCGTCACTGGAGCCTTGGGATTTTGGGCCGGGGTATGCCGCCGGAACAACGGTTTCGCCGGATCCGAGAAGTGTTCCGCTGCCGAGCGCCCCATTCCGCTCGGGGAGACCGCAAGAGAGTGGATTGACCCATCTGGACCACCAGATGATGCGCGGATTATTAATAATATCATGTTGCATCTGCATGTGCATCTGCCCGAGAATAGGCCCAAGGTGGACAACGTAGTGCCGGCCCGCGATCGACCGCTGAGGGTCCGATACGGAGCCGCACAACGCTGAGCCGCGCGACTATCAAAGAAATCGTGGCAGCGGATGACGGCCCTGGCGGATGCATGCCCTCGTCTCGAAGACCAGCCAGGGCAGGGCAGGACAGGGCAGTGCACGCAAGACCTTCCTTGGGTGGCGGCATTCCAACAGTGCAGCGCGTTGATGGCCGGACGAAGGACAATGGACAGACACTCGGCTTCGGTGACGCGGCCATGCTCGGCGCTTCGACCCCAAGTTGCGGAGGTGGGTAGACGTGTGATGAGATGGTGTCTGAAGTGCAAGCCGGAAGGCGACGAGACAGCAGATCGAGATTCCCTGGTGGCGTGAGGCATAGGTGGCGGCGGAAGCGAAGTCAAAGGCCCAGGAACGTTTCGACTGTGGTTGCCAAATCAGACCCCAATCTCCCTCCATCAAAGCGCATGGTCTCCAGGGAACCATGGTGGCGACGCATTGCCGTTAGCACCATGATCCAGGAGAAGACCAGGTTACTGCCGTCTTGCGCAGCTTCGCGCAGAGCTGGTTGACAGAAGCGTCAGCGTGCATTAGCCGGTGAACAGCCAAGATGTTCGTCTGGAACTCTGGAAGCGTGTTTCCCTCCCAAACAGCTGTTGCAGGCCTCGTCTGAATAGGCCTAGCCGGATGCTCTCGTTGCATACGGAACGTGGGCGCGGCGCGCGCACACACACACACACACACACACACACACACACATGGGCGCTGCATGCTCGACTCCTTCACGCTCGCTTGCTTATTACGACCACTATTACGGTACTTTACCAGGGGGCCGGTCAGTCAGGCTTCCGGGCGCGCACCAGCCAGCCCAGGCATGTGGCGCGGCCGCTCGCAAGGTGCTGGCCTCGTACTTAGTTACTGTCCTTAGTCCTATAATACGCACGTGTGAGTGTGTGAGTGTATTTACTTATGGTGTGTACAAAATACCACTACTATCACAATGGATTTGGGCTATTGCACCGGCATCGACGATCGCGTGCCGTATTCAAGTCAACTAAGGATGCATAGCGAATTCTAAATTGCGGGGCAGCAGGCGTAGTTATGTGTATAAGGAATGAGCAGTGTGGGACCCACGCTCAGATTCTGTTCGCAAACCTGTTCGGCGGTAGCCATGGCCCCCGTTGTGGAACAGGAGAGGACTTCATTTGCCCAAGTTTGCCCAAGACGACCGTTTCACGACTGCGAGCCTTGTCATTGTGGGCTCGCATAGGCTCGTGTCCGAGTAATGGGAGTGGGCGGGCGCCCATTCGGAACCGAAAGCTCGTGGAACGAGTCGATGAGAGTGGTGAAGGGCGTTGGAATCCTACGGACACAGCCGGCCTCTAACAGCGTCCAACGTCTTAATTAGCCTAATCCGTTCTGACAAGGTATCATTCATGACGCCCCTGGCTTTTGTAGTCGGCGACTCATTCGTTAGTAGCAAGCTCATGCCTGGCGACGAGGGATGCCTTCCACTCCGGGGGGCTGTTGGCAATGCTGAATTGCCTCATGGGGAGAGGATGCAGGGTATGACGGCACGGCCAGTCAATTAGTCAGTCAGCCAGTCAGCCAGTCCAACCATCCGTCCGATGGACAGTCGGCCACTGCAGCAGCCGTCATGCTGGGTGTGTAGTGTAGTGCAGTGTAGTGTAGTGTAGTGGGAGTTAAGAGGGTACTTAGTCGTAGCACCCGGTATGGGCGAGTGGTGATGGTGCTCGTCGAGTGCAGGCATATAGCTCGCCCCTTCGCACTCTCCTATAACTGTGTCAGAGACAGTTGCAACACGGCTCGGTGACTTGATTGCGAGGCCATGCGAAGGTTTGCAAGTCGAAGAATTAAAGTTTTCGGCGTGGCCACCCCCCTGCAACCGCACCAGTCTCAAACCTTGAGGCCGACTTTAGGTGCTGAGCTGACGAGTGACGGGGACACCATTATTCATTTACCTGGGCCTGGTCGGTGTCGTTGCAGTCGCAGGCGCGGGCTGATTGGCGGCCGGTCACGAGCAGTTCCTGTTGCTACCACCGTCCCAAGACATGGCACAAGGGCGGTTCCTTCTTTGAACGGCGCAGCAAGCAGCGTCGCGCACCCAGCACCCCCCCTGCCCGCTCGGCTAAACTCTGGAGTTGATCTGCCCTGCCCCTGCCCCGCCGGGCTACTCACTACCAGGCTCCCAGGCTACCAGGCTCGCACCTGCCCTTGCCTTGCCCTTGCCTTGCCCTTGCCTTGCCCTTGCCCTCTTGTCCTTCGCGCTTGCCCCCTCGTAGCCCTTGCCCTTGCCCTGCCCTTGCCCTGCCCCCCTGCCCCCTGCCCTCCTCGGCGCCGTTGGCGACTTCCCTGCCGCCCAGGACCCCGGCGCGCGCTTTCACATTGTTCGGCGGGACGATGCTGCACTCTGGGTGTGTGTGTGCGTGGATGTGTGTGGATGTGTGTGTGTTACACCCATTCCTTCGCTTCACAGCTTGACAGCGCCCAAAACGGCACGCTCCCGGAGCCAACTGTTTGAGGCTTCGTCTAGGCTCATACCTTGCGTAGCTGCATGACCGTCTTGCTCAGGATCTGCTTGTTTCTCCACGTGGATTCGTCTCATCGACGTGCTTGCCTGTTAATACCCTCTACTATATATACCACTGACCGCGCTACGTCCATGCCTTGTGTTACACTACTACCCAATTGCCTTCTTCTTGCTTGACCCTATTTTAAACACGACGCTCCTTATCTTGCCATCCATCTCTTGCACAGAAGCCCAGTCTACTACATTACATTCCTCCCACCCAACTCGCTCCTTCCTCTCTCGTTTACACTAGACTTGTGCCAGCCTGCCAATCTACCTCGTCTTACACTTCACTACTCTGCACACATTACTCTCCCTACACTACAATACTATCACCATCACCGCCACCACCATCTATCTCGGTCACCATTGCTACCAACGATCCCACCGCAGACATGGGTGGCAACACCGAACATATAGCCGGCCACGGCTACCTCTCCCTCGGCCAGGCTGTCAACGTTGCTCAGAACAGTGAAGGCGGTGTCGACCAGCGTCTGGCTCAATTTCTCGAAAAACGCCTTGCCGAAGTATGGGCAAAACTAAACGCTCATCCCGGATCCTACGTTCTTCCTCCAGACGAGTTTGCTCTCTTGAACTACTACCGCACACGGTTTGGAGACAACGAGATCGTACGAAACGCCACTAAGCGCTTTTGGGACAACCACAAAGGCAGCCAATAGCCCGCTCGCCCTTTCTTTTTCCCACCCCACCCAAACCACAACCAGTCAAGAGCATGGCACGCTTTTTCGCACTTTGCTAGCCACTATTTAAATTTCGCTGCAACCATTACTGTCTCAAGATGTTGCCATTTATTGCTTATTTGGCGGGACGACGCCTGGCCCTCTATTGATTGTCAAGGTACACAGCACCTTCCTCCTGCTAAGTACAAGCGCTCACACTGGTCAGAAAAAAAAAGTCATAAATCGACCCGGTTTGCTTCTTCTGGGTTTCGACGGCGCACTTATATACCTGGAGTTTTTTTATTATTATTTCTTTTGCGAGATACCTCTGAATACGGAGTCTACGGCGTTTGGAGCATCATACCACTGCCGACCAGTCCTCGAAACGACACGGGGCATCATGCATGGTCGGAGTTACGAGAGCGATGGAGTCTTTGGATGGCGTTTTGGTGGATTTGTAGAACTGATCGCGGCGTCACTTGGACGAGCAACCCCTAGCTCCGCCCTCATAACAATGTTTCTAATGCTAATCACCCTGTCCCAATCTGCCGATCACAAGGGCCCGAGGAAGCCCCTACTCCAGTGCCTACAGCCCATGCCGCCAGTCCTCAGTCTAGTGGACGGATGTCAACAGATTATCATGAAGCACACTTTTGCCTCCTCTTACGGTCAGCCATTTATCGGTGAATACAACCCACCCGAATGCAGTTTCAACCGGGTTACTTTCAACTTCACAGTCACTTCCGCCGGCCTACAGTTTGACAGGCTTGGCCTCATGTTCCTTGATGACACCGAGGTTTTTCGGACTTCGACTGCAGAGCCGACGCAGACGGGCATCATCTGGAGCTACGTTAAAGACATGAGCGGTTACTTGAGCCTGTTTCGTACGCCACATAAAATTATTTTCGATCTAGGAAACGTTATTAATGACAATTATACTGGATCCTGGACTACGACATTGACGGCAACCTTCTTTACTGCAATAGACGATATTGAGCCAGCAGATGTCATCATCCCAATTTCCGCTCGGAGGTCTGTTGATGATTCCCCAAGCGCATTTCTTGTGCCGGAAACCAGAGCAGTCGACACTATCATGTTGCCGCGAAATGCCAAGAAAGCCGTCGTGACTATGTCCGCTTGCGGACAAGCTGCCGAGGAATTCTGGTGGAACAACGTACTTTCTTCCGACACCAGTGTCTTTGGGGCAAATGAATCGCTATATGGTCATTCGCCCTTCCGAGAGATTCAACTCCTCATTGATGGGCAGTTGGCTGGGGTTGCTTGGCCTTTTCCGGTCATCTTTACTGGAGGCTTTCTCCCAGAGTTATGGCGACCAGTAGTAGGAATCGATGCATTCGACCTCCAAGAAGATGAAATCGACATTACACCTTTCATAACATTACTCAATGATGGCAAAACTCATACATTCGAAATCCAAGTTCTTGGCATCGATGACGACGGAAATGGCACGGGCACATTCACGACAGCTATTGAATCAAATTGGGTTGTCACTGGCAAAGTCTTTGTTTGGCTTGATGCAAACAACACGCCTCTAACGGGAACGGGACCCATCTCGGGCTCAGTTGCTTCTCTTCAACTATCCTCCACAAGGAAGAAGGGCATATATAGCGCTGGCATTTATTCTTTGACTGACTCGGTCCAAGTATCACGCAGCATATACATCGAGTCGACATTGGATACTGCTGATGGACGAAAGACGGCCATATGGAGCCAGAATTTGACTTTTTCCAATATTGGAACATTCAGCAATAAAGGAAACGATCAAGTGGTGCGCCAGTTTACTGCTGGCAAACATACTACACTAGCGGGTTACTTGAAGAGTTTCGAGTATCCTCTTTGGGCCCGTTCGTCCTACAATACAGCGCTGGACGGCAATGTCAGCATTGATGCAAGCATGCGGCAAGGGAAACAGGTACAACAGCTGGGTGACCTAGCATTTCCTAACAGCTGGAAAACATTTAATGATACTCCTTTCCCAGTAGCGTTTTCTCCAAGACGTGCTTTTTTGGCTCCAACATGTACAACTCGCAGAATGGCACAGCATACAGAAGATCCAATCCTCGTCTAGGGAATTGGTATAACTCAAGTAGCACAGAGCAGCACATGACGCTTAGCGGCATTAACAATGCACACGAGGGAACTGTGGTCCAGGATAGCACACGTGTCTCGGACCCATCTGGGCAAGTCTGGTCAGCAGGACCCCCTTATGAGGAACTATACGAAAGGAGTATTGTAGCGGCCAACGGATCGGTCGTGTACGACAGTGAAAGTTACGGCGGTCAAGTACGCGGTCAAGGCACCAATTCCGCTGGCCGTGGGCAGGAGGTCAATGTCGCCGGTCACGGTGGGGCGCGCGAATTTGCGGCAAAGCCAATCGAGGCAAGACTAGGGCGGGGACCCGCTTAGGCGGGAACTTTGACGAAGGTGGGGTGTGGGAGAAGAGGTGTGTGGGAGTAGGCTAGGAAAGTATACCGATGCCCTGTAAGCAGTACATTTAGATGGGCAGACAATACGACATAGCATGCGAGCAGGGGCATTTAGAGCAGTTTTTTTTGCTGGTGCCATGGAGGTTTCCATGTTTGGTAATAAACCGGTAACTGTCATGTCGCTTTGGGATAGGGGGAAGGGCAATGCGCTTGGAAGCGATGTCTTTCATTTTCTTCATTTATAGTAGTTCGCTTAACTTGGTAGTTCCACCGCATGTATAGTGCATGCACACATGTCCATTGTCACACTACGCCATTGATCAGCAATCAAAAACCCACGCCATGCGTGCTGTTGGTCGTGTTCTGGATCATGCTCTCGCGATCGAAGCATGTCGATCTTACCGATTAGAAGGGGCCCTTAGGAATGCACCATTCAAAAGCGGTGCCTCTGGATTAGAAGGGGCCCTTAGGAATGCACCATTCAAAAGCGGTGCCTCTGCTGCGACATGCGGCTGCTGCGACATGCGGCTGCTGCGACATGCGGCTGCTGCGACATGCGGCTGCAGCGACTGCATCCGAAGAGGGGAAGAAAAAAAATTAAACAACAAGAAGCCCCCCTCCCCCCCCCAAAAAAAAACACGGATAGATGAGTTATCTCCCTTCCGCCACACGTTGTGTCTGGCTCCTGAGCATCCGTGCATTTCTGAGCCAACAACGCGTCACGCTGCGCCACTAAATCTCCGTGTTCTTTGACCACCATATCGGCTGCGGGTTACAAAGTTCCACAGTATGTCAATTTGCAAATCTTATATGCAGAATAGGCCCTTGCCAAGCACAGTAGTTTTCTAGGCGAAAGCCTTAACAACCGTGTAAACTTTCGCTTACACCAGAGCATCTGCCGCCTGAGAGTCCATGTTGATGCAGCTGCCGCTTCATCCCCCCAATATCAGTCTTTTTTTTCTTGGTTTCTCTTTTCTTCTCTGGATGCACGGAAAGTCGGAGGCTGCATGTACCCGACGGCGATTTGTGATGGGCTCCGCTACACATAACATGTGTATGTTCTGTACATCAAGGCCAGGCATCGGGGAGGGCAGGGGGAGAGCATCGTCAGGGTCGACGTGATTTGACGGGATTTGACCTTATCGGGCGTAACCAGAAGCTAAGGCATGGGGCACAGCGAAACGGCCTTCCTTGTGTTGTGTTCTTCTTGTCCAAACTAGGCGTGCAGTGTGCTGTGGGTAGTGGGGTTGCAAAGCGACCCCCATCTGGGTACACGTGCCGTCGTCTCTTGGGCAGTTGGAGCGATAATGGCCGCCCTTGCTATAGCCGGGCTCTTTGTGGGAGTAAGTAGGCGCACCTGAAACCCGGTCGCAGGCACAGGCACAAGCGAAGGCGAAGATGTGGGGAATGGGAGCAGGTGCAGGTGCAGGTGCAGGCAGAGCAGACGCCTTGGGTCGCATATTGTGCCTTACTTGGTACTATAATATTACCCTATACGTATACGCCTCAGACCCGTGCAAACGCGACCAGCGCCGCCTTGTCTGCGGGCAATTGCAGGCGCTTGGCTGCTTTGGGCGGTCGGAGGCAAACATGTCGGTAGTTGCAGTGGCGCGCTTAAATGGCAATTTCCAACTCGTCCGGATCCGAGCGTCGTCGTTTGCTTTGACGCGCGCTCCCGTGGGGTGCGTGTAAGCGGGAGATTTGCAGTGGATCCGTGCAGGCGCCGCGTCCCCTCGTGGCAAGCCTGAAACGCGGGTAATGTGCTTTGGACCACGGCCGCGTTGCTGCTGGGCCTTGCATGCATTATTTCCACCTTGTCATATACTTACCTCACGCGACACAAGCTGAAGGGGGCCCCGCGGCCTCCGGCCTGACCACCTATCCTCCGCTCCCAGGGGCTGCACTTCGAAATCTTTAAGGTTTTGCTCCTCGGCACCATGATGTCATGGCTCTGGACGAGACCGACAAATCCAAACTCCGGCCCTGCACCTCTCGGCACTTTGTCCTCGCAACCCGCCCAACTCTCTTTTCCCGCGCCCTTCTTGGCCCATACGCATTGCGTACTACCCTGAGGCAGATCAATCGTATTGGGGAAATGCAGTCCGGATTGGGTGAAAAGACCCATGGCCATTGGACGGCATCATGGCCCGGCGCTACAAAACAAAGAGCGAATTCCACAGCCTCTCACGGCACGCCGGGGATGGGCCACACTGCCGTGTTTTCTAGCCATGGATGCCGAACACGCCTCGAATTTTGCTTGTCGATCCGGAAATGCCCCTTCAATATACGTCCTTTCCTGTCACTATCCGGTCTATCGGTCATCGATTGTAAGCCATTGGGCTAACACCTAAACTGCATACTTGTACGAACTTGGCACATAAAGGCTGGTGCTGTGATCGGTAGGCAAAACTCGCGTATCGCTACTGACAGCTGTCGCGATTCCACTCCTCGCCTACTCTCAACCCTGTGGAGATAACGGGTTTAACATTCGGAATAGCCGAGCGACGCGGACGAAGAACTAATTGACAGGTTGGGACAAGCGATTCAGCTCTACTTTGTGACAAAGAAATAGAGTTTGGAGGCAGACAAGCAATGTTGGCAGCTCGTGGTGTTGAGTGGGAAAAACATGGCCGCTCCACGCCTAAACCATGCCACGGCCCGCTATTGAAAACGGCGGACTAGCGTTGCTGCTGGAACATGCATACACAGACTTACATACCTAGTATATACCTACTATTCGTTGGTATTATGAACATCATCGTTGCACGCAGCTGGAGTCGCAGCTGAGAAACCTTGTGTACTCCGCCACCAGCGATCAAGTGGTGATAGCCATATTCCACCTGGTTCGGGAATAGCTACAGCTCACGCCCCCCCCATCTTTCGCCATCACAGCAGTTATACGCTTCGACCAATCATAATAAAAAGCGCCATCGTCCAATACCAGGTCAATGGTCCCTCTGCGACGGTGCATGCACGAAATGTGGGCGAGTCACATGTCTGGCCGTGTCACTTCACCGTGCATGACTCTAGCACCATACACAGTAAGCCATCGATCGGATGAGCAACCCCCCTCCCCACTTCCGCACGCATTATGCGGTAATACAACGTGTACATTTCCCGGACTTTATTTTGAACCCTTCCTCCCCCCCTAGAAGAGCCAAACGTATGCATGGTACTGCAGGGACTCTTGGGCCTCATTTCCCGGCAATCCCCTCCCATGCCTGTGGGAGGGAATAAAGGGAGATCTAGAAGTAATGAACAGTCGATCATCAGAAGAACATCAGCCCACTTTCTGGGGGGGCTTGCTCCCTGCCAAAGCCTTAGGGAAACTTTATTATTTTTTTTTTGAAGTTTCGGTGCCTCGGCGCAAATTGCTCTCTTGTGGCCTTGCAGAAAGGGTTGTGGGTGTGTGTTTGGCTTCTTGTGGTAATCAATAGAAGGGCCGGCCGGATTACTCCTTAGCCAGACCGAACCTTGCTTACACAAGACAAGACAAAGAGGCCTGGGCCCGACTACGGGGATGGGCAAGGGCTTACTTTGTATGGTTTTTTGTGTATGATTATTACACCTAGCGAAGAAAAGAAATGGTGCTAGAGCTAGTTATGGTGTCTTCTAGGCTAGGAATGGAACAGGGCTTACTTTACGGAATACTTGTCTAATATGTTAGTTTGGTAAGGAGCAAATTTGTACGGCTATGCGAATCGCGTTAGTGAGGGTGTCTGGAGCTAAAAAGGACCCTCGTTTATCGGTATAATCCATCTCTAGAGGTGGGAAGCTAGTAGTGTGGTAGATAAGTACTAGTAAGATCGGGTTTTGCCGCCTCTCGGTCACATAGATATTGGTAATTCTGAGATTCAGGCCCAGATAGCCTACCGTTATTATTTTCGCCGATGTGAGGTTCAAGAGTCTTCCGTCATTCCATCGCTTTGATTCAATGGTTGTGGACCAAAGAGAATATGCTTAGTGACTTCATCACGTCACATCACGTGTGATCACGTGCATGTATAGACGTCATCATGAAGACGTGGTCTGGAACCACGGCGAATTCTGATGAATCGCTAAGGAATGAACTTGAGCTGTCTGGCGCACTCCCAATTCAGCACAAATATTTCCGCGTACTAGCGAGTCCGCCATGGAACGAACGTATGGGGAACAATGGCAATCAATGGCAAAAGATGGGGAACTGTGGGGGCCGCTGCGTTGTCGATGATTGTGACTCGTTGACTTGGGTAGCCGCCTTCCTCGTTTTCGCGTGGCGTCCATGGCTGATTAACTCATCATCTCTTCGCTCATCTTCCACTATGTCTCAATGTCTTCGTCACAGACCTCGATCCATCTGTCCGTATTACCACACCAGACACCATGGACCAGCCCACACCCCCAAAATTCACCGCAAACAATGATAAGACTGCACAGCAACCTCAAGAGCCTAGACTCGTAGCTGAGCCTCGTCTTAAATCCGGAGATAAGGCCGAAAGTACACTAACGGTCAATCGCGGGGCAATTCGTGTGCCGTCCCCAGATCCCTCCCTGGTCTCGATAGACGATTTCAACAATGTACGGATTGGCCGAATCCCAGATCGTAGTATTAGTATCCCATTTTATCACGGGACACAGGTATCTCGGTCGCCTAGCCCCCCACGGACTTTCAAGGGCAAGATACAAGCATCATGGACTGCCAACAAAGGTTTGGCTCTTGTTTTGATTTCGCAGCTGTTTGGCACACTGATGAATGTCACGACACGCATGCTGGAAATGGAAGGGAATAATGGTAAAACTGATTTTCTGCGAGGTGAAGTTGACATGCTTGCTAACTTGCAACTTAGGCAATGGATATCATCCATTCCAGATACTCTTTGCTAGGATGAGCATAACAGTGCTATGTTCTTCTCTGTACATGTGGTATAAGAAGACGGAGCACTTTCTGTTCGGTATGAAGGAAGTACGCCCGCTACTGATGGCTCGAGGTCTGACTGGCTTCTTTGGAGTCTTCGGCATGTATTGTAAGTAACGAATTCGACTCATGGGTTACCCATGCGGGGACTTGTTCAAACTCCGAACTGGCTTAGCCTCGGAGTTTACATCCTATTCTGGGGAGCCTTGTTTACATTTTTCTGGGCTTTCCTTTTTTTACTAAACTATCTATGAACCTTAATGATAGATCATATTGCTGACTTATCGCAGATTCTTTAATGTATCTTCCCCTTGCTGATGCAACAGTCATCACTTTTCTCGCGCCTAGTCTTGCATGCTGGGCGTGCTCCTACCTTATCGATGAACCGTTCACCCGGATGGAGCAGATCGCAGCATACGTTTCGCTCTTTGGCGTTGTTCTGATTGCACGGCCCGTCTCCCTTTTTGCCGCTCTGTCACATTCTCCAGAGATGGTATCGCCTGTCAGCGCCAACCCAGATTCGCTTCTTACTGCGAACACAACGACTGCACCACCGGACCGCCTTGCCGCAGACTATGATTCTGTAACCCCCAAGCAAAGAGCGATTGCAGTGGGGGTAGCCATGCTTGGTGTTTTTGGGGCCGCTGGAGCATACACTACTATTCGTTGGATTGGCAAACGCGCTCATCCGCTTATCACTGTCAATTACTTTGGAGTCTGGTGCACGATTATCAGTATTGTAGCCATGCTTACCGTGCCGGGCGTTGGCTTTCTACTTCCAAGCAACCTCGCAGATTGGTGTTATCTGATATTCCTTGGTATCTGCGGCTTCATCATGGTACGTTTTGTCGTCTCCTCTTTGGTAATGCTATTTTATTAACATTTCTCAGCAATTCCTCTTAGCAGCCGGCCTGCAATACGAGAAGTCATCTCGTGCTACTAATATGGTATACATGCAAATGTTATTCGCTCTCTCATTTGACAAGCTCGTCTGGGGCACAACACCCGGAGCTCTCTCAATTATTGGCTCTTCACTCATATTGGGCTCTGCGCTTTATGTTGCTATGAATAAGGAACATTCGACCAAGGTTGCGCCGAGGGAGAGGGGGAATGTAGAAGAAGAGATGGGGCTCATGGCTCCGGAGTATGACAATGAACAACGAGAGCATGAGGAGACGCATGTACAAATGAGGTCGTTAAGATGATATTTTTTTTGATGATAGTACATGGCATTTGCATGGGGGAAACATTGATTGCATTTTAGAAATCGCAAGTACACGGTGTACACAGATCGATTGCATGAGAATAGACATACGGCCATCAAACCTACCTTCAATCTTTTTACTACAAACACGCACGATGGGGTTTGCGCATGCTTCATTAACACATTCGTATACTAGCGTTTCACCCTTCCGTGCACCGGACGCAACTCTACATGTAACACATACCGGTTCTTCGCACACATACTAATTTAGGCCATTCTTCATTATTGCAAGGGGGGTGGTCATAGGCGACCGCTACATGTTCTCTGAGACCAACCACTTAGCATGTAAGCAGCCACAAAAAAACCCCCCCCAAAAATCTCGAAACTGGGGAAATGTGAAATTCCGAAACCGCCGGTTGGTTGCTGTGTAGTTGACACCCACGCTACCCTCACTTTGTTGAATGAGAAAACAGCATCATCCCAACATCCCAACTTACAACGCATCTCGTAAGATCCGCAAAACCTTGTGTGGTAGCTATATATTCAAAGGCTTACTTGCTCGCTAAAAAAAAACAAGCGCGTTATCGATTCCTGGGGTCCGTCCCACATATTAGCCGAACCGATGTTGAGAACTTGACATTCCCCTCCCAATACTCAACGAGGATTTTTTATTTTTACGATGAATATGAATTTTACAAAACGCGAGATTTCCATCACAACTCAAAAACCGAAGCGCAATCAGCGCTTTCGCATCCTTCCTCCGTGGCGCAATTGGCTAGCGCGTCTGACTGTTACAGATCTATCTTGTAGCGTATCAGGAGGTTGAAAGTTCGAGCCTTTCCGGGGGAGTTGTTTAACTTTTTTTGCTATGCTGTTTTTCTCTGGCCCTTTCTCAATCCCTACTTCCCACTAGCTAGTTTTGATATATTAAGACTACCCTTGTTTTCTTTGAATAATTAGCTTGCAGAATAGGTTTTTTTGCATGGGCATGGGTATGTAGATTAGTGTGGTGTATGTATGTAACGCTCGGTGCGTTTTTTATTTTTGGCACCGGGGTACTAGGAATATAGTGTACACGTCCGCTTGTCTTAGTAGTGAGATGCCAAGAAACAACACGGGAACACTGCTCGCCCTTTTCTTAATACTCTTTTCTATAGTTCCATGTCAATGCTTTGTTTCATGGATTCCTTAGATCGTTGGCATGGGTTGGTATGTACTAGACGTCTGTGCAGAAAAGGTGTAAAAATGGCTCGGAGAGGGGGGGGGGGGTTCGTTAGTATCCCAAGACTTTTTTAGCGCCTTTTTTTTTCCTTTTAGTCCGTCCGTCATTTAATTGACATCGTCTCACAATCAGCTCTTGAGAGCCGAATCTATGCATGGTGGAATTAGTAGATACCCGGATTATTGCCTCGGGCGGACGGAACATGGAGTTTTTTCCCTCGGAAAGTTTTTCTTTGGGATATCCGAGGTGCATGGTTACATCGTAGATTGTGTATACGGGTGTGAAGCTAGCCAGGGACGGGGAGCCTTATTCATGGGAGTGGACTTGGTATTCACTTGTCTGTGCAGGGATGGTTGTGGCCTGGTAGCACTTTTGTATGCATGATTGATACGGTGTTACATTAAGAAATTGACAAACGATAAACAGCTGATTTTCTTATCAGTATGCTCCCTGCTCCTTCACCTTCACGCTTGGCATCTCTTGACCCTGTTCCGAGACTGACTACGATGAAGGATTTACACCCTGGACATCAGCACGCTCGTAAACCTCGCTCTCCCATCTTCGACCTTGAGCACGTTCACGGGGACTTTTGTGCAGAGCATGAGTTCCTCGCCCGGTAGATTCATGGGTGCGGAGAAACCGGCAACGTGGGAGACGGGGGTGCTGCAGGTGGGACATTTCCAGGGCCCTGCTTGTTGGGAATCGGGTTCGGTGGCGCTGCCTTCCTCGATTGCTTTGATGCATATATTGCAGAATTGATGGGCGCAGGGACGTACGCTAGGTTTTGATTTGTTAGTAAGAGGAAAGGGAGAGAAGGGGGATGGATGGGTGATTGAACGCGGCACTTACATGCAATCACACAGTCGAATCTCACACGTTGTACACATTTTGGGTCTTGCCGGATTGAATTCCGGTTCTGTGGTTATACCCACATGTTTATCCATCTGACTGACACTCTTGATGCTGTCGAAATCTCCGCCATCAAGTCGCTCATCGACTTTCTCTTCGACAACCCAGAACTGACCGCCAGTCTTGGCGTACCTCTTCGCGTCTATGGGCGGAGGCTGAGGAACGATGTGTGTGACTTTTTCGCAGCTCTCGGGATCAAGCATATGCACGTGGAGGATGCGAGCTGCGGCGTGGTTCCATGTTGTGGGGGCATTTCTGTCTTTGTATATGTCTTGGACTTTTATCGGTTGTTAGTAATGCCCACATAGGAAGATAAACAGATAGTGCAACGTAATTAGTTTTCCTCCAGCGGCTAAGCCCATGGCCTTGATGTTTTTGACTTGGGTTTCGGTAAGCTCCACCAATCCTTTTCTGCCTTCGCTCTCTGTTGCAGCATCCACTGCGATACTTTCGTCTACATCATCGCGAGACTGAAAATCAGACGATCCTTCACCATTTCCTATGCTCATCTGGTCAAGGCGTGGCCGTTTGGATGCTCCCCGTCCGAATAGGCGCAATGACCTCGATGGGGGTTCCGGATAATTACGTGCGGGCGGAGTAGCCATTGCAAGAGATTTCTTTTTGGGTCTTGAAATACATAACGGGGACGCCATTGAATTGGAACCTACTTTGTATGAAGCGAATTCGTAATGTTCCGATCCAAGAAACATCAAGTTGAGACGATCATCAGCTTTGAGTTTAATAGGAGTCGTCATATATAAATCAACATTTTGAGGAAGCTTATTTTCGCCCCTTTCATCGACCTCTGACGTGACCAAGTCTCGAATTCGGAAAGGCGTTCGGTACGTTTCATCAGTCGGATACGATCTCAGGACATCCCCGATTTTGCAACCGAGTTCACGAGGGGTGTAGGACTCATTCAGCCCATCGCTGCAGTATTTATAGCCATCTTTGAATGTGACATAATGTTGCTTTGCGTACGACCACACTCGTTTACCTTTGATCATTTCAGGTGTAACTTCGAGCTGCAGTCCTCCATGCTTTTCTTCGGATGTTTTCTGGCCTTCAACAGTGTACCCAGAACCCACTGTGGTCAGTTGTAAGTGCATATGCTTTGTAATGTTTCGATTTGAATGCTTACATGGCATGGCAACGAACTGACGAACAATACCTGGAGCTACGCAAATACCATCTAGCCATTTCTGTCCAGGTATGACAACATAGTCCTGCAATTTACTCTCATCTTTCTTGCCCAATCCCTTTTGCATCTCTTGCCCAGTTATGGCATTCACATGTCCGACGAAGACCCGTACTGCATACTTGTGGTAGCCTTGTTGGAAGTTGAGCCACATGGCTTCTCTCTGCCACATTGAGAAGAAGATACCACCTGCCTCCCTGACGTTTTGCGGTAGACGTTTTGAGTAGGCGTCTACGCTGAAGAGCTCATACTGCCCTAATGAAGAGGGGAGGTGGTGAAGTTTGTTATCGTCGGGTATGCGTACAGTTCGCTCAAATGTTACGCAAAATCCACGATCGTCTCGTACCTCACGCTGAGAATTGTTCAGTTCATCGATTCTGGATTCGAGGGGTGGAACGTGGTGTGAGTTTGCGTGTGATATCAACATCTCACTGATCCTTATTGTGGTGGGGGTGGAAGGCCGATCGTCTGCCACCACAAGTACTTCGTCGTGTTCTTTTATAGGGAATACTCGGTACCGTCATTCACCAGGACTCTAGGCATCGCGAAGCCGAGCTCTAACCATCGTTAAAATACATCGGAGCGAAGTACAGCAGATGTTGTACCTTGGAATTTGTTCCAAAGCCCAGGCCATATCACCTCGTCTTCGTTCAAGGTTGTAGAGATGGTGTACAACCCGGAGTCTTGGTCTATAATGGTAGTCCATTCATCTTGCTCGACATCCCTGATCTTTTGCAGACCCTCGATGATGACTCTGCGGAGGTTTGTAGGAGCACTTGACGACATCATTGCACTCTTGAGAAAGTGAAAACACGATAAGAATATAAGGGGCGCTGAACAGTTCAAGTAGTTCAAGCTAAGAGCGATGGTGCTTGCCAGGCTGAGAAGGTGCTTTCAGCTCTTATTACTGCCGGCCTCTAAAACTAAGCGGGGTCACCTCAGCCGCACAACTGCGCCTCCTTATGTGGTGTTTAGCCTGGTCACCAGGCCATTGCTGTTCAGATCTAAACTCCTCCATAGAAGAAACAAAGAAACGATGTCGTTTGGGTTTTCAATTGGGAACATTAGTGAGTATGTCGCTCCGCACGATATGAGAAGGACGCTAATGATGTGTAGTACTCCTTAGTCAACTAGCGTATAGTCTCTACTCAAGCATCAGCTCTGGAAGGAAGGCAGCTTCGCGCGATCTCAAAGAACTCGAGGACGTACTTTTCAGCCTAAAATGTGCCTTGGACCATCTAGGAGAAGCTTCCAAGGATGTGCTTGCACGACCAGATCGGCATGGAAGAACATATTTCAAAGAGAAACTAGATGCGATGATAAACGCCTGCGCGTCTACTCTAAAAGAACTAGAAGCCATGACGGAGAAGTACCGTTCGGTTGAGACCGCGGCTGTAGAGAACGCAGCGACTAACAAAGGCAAAGCGAAGTTGCGCACGCTAGACGACATGAAGAAAAGCATCCAAGTCAACTGGCATAGGGTGCGGTGGGACTATGAAAAACAGTCGCTGCAACAATACCGTGAGAAGTTGGAGTCACATACTGATGCGATCAACCTCATACTGACTTCTATGATCTGGTAAATTCTATGTCCCTGCTGTCAAATCAGTCGAAAGCTAACTGCTCAGGGCAAACTCTACCCTCGCAGACGAGAAAAGCACAAAGAGCCATGAGAAGACACATGGGTTGTTAGAGCAAGTGCTGAAAAAGTCAGAAGCAGACGACTCAGTCCGAAGCATAGTTGAGGATATCCGCAACATGCTCACACAGGCCGATCTGGGTGCGAGAAAGGCTCCTGAAACTCCAACAGCCCCATTGGTACTACCGAGTGACTCGACATTTATCGCTGCATGTTCACATAGTCCTTCACCAGTTACAAAAGGTAGTGGATTTGCCGAGAGTTATACACGACGTTCTGCTTCAGTCAACATGGATCTGAACCCAGCCCTGCCAATTAGACCACCCCACAGGCATATGAAAAGGGTGGTGTTCCCAGCTGGAGCTGCGGAGACGCCATCCCAGAATCATCAACATACACTGGAGGTTCAAAACGAGCTATCGAGTGCTGTAGGCCGGATAGACTTATCTCCAGAGACCATTGATCTCAACGCCAGGCGCCGTGCTTTTGGTGAAGACGAGTACGAGGCCTTCAGGCAGCGCCACCCTACAGAGGAAAAAGCTCGAAAGCCATCATTCTTGACACCCGCGACTCCGACTATGAAAGATCTCTATGACGGCATACTGTACCTCTTCGGATCCCTACCAGAGGGCAAACAGAAGACAGACGAGCTGAAGTTTGAAACTGAGCGCTGGATACAGGGGCTATCTCTTCTAGTCAAGAATACCACGCCTGATGCAAAGTCTGATAATGGATTTCTCCATTTGCTACAGACGCTAAACAGAACTGTAGAGGGCAGTGCCAAATCAGTGCGAGGGCTCTTCTACGAGGTCTCAGGCTCTGCGGGCTTGCTGGATGCTTTGGATCAGGTATCAGCGACATCGAAGAGCGTTAGAGTGATGAAGGAGATTGAAGACTTTCAAGATGCCAAAGAAGAGTGGGAAGACGATCATGGTGGTAATTGAGTGTAGATGGTCTAACGGGTAGTCGTCAACGGGCAATTTTGCAAGTGCAAGGGCTATCCTGGCCCTCATCCGTCAGCTAGTATGCGAACCAGCTTTGCATTGCCATGGCCATGCTTGCTCCCTTCATATGTACTCTTTGCTAGGGTGGCTATTTTCCCGCAGGCAAGCTGGATCATAGGCTGTTTTGTATTCGGCTCTATAAAGAGGCCGGGTTTGCCGTCGGAGCGATCGGCCGTGTCCGTGTCAATGACGTCGTGCAGTATCAGGCGATGGCCGTTGGGCAGCACGCACCATGGATCACCGAGCGCCTGGTATTTGGCAAGAACGGCTGCCATGGTGTCTGTCTCAAAATCGACGAACCGGTCGGCCTTTGTAATTTTCGGCGCGTGGTCGGTAGGGCAGCCAGATTGAGCGAACCATCCGACATCCGTGATTGGAGGTATGAATTTGCGCGTTTCGAGCACGTCTACAAGCATTTGTGCTCCCACGTCTGCCAATTGTTTCTCCAGCTTCTGTGATGTGATGCCTGGGGGAACTGCAATGCCTGGGGCTGATGTTTGGGCGAGAATAGTGCCCTGATCGAAGTGCTGTGGGTGGAGTGTTTGGATGGAGACACCCGTATATCTTCTCTGCTTTAGGATGGTATGCTCGATTGGAGCCGGCCCGCGCAAGTCAGGGAGCAGTGATGGATGGACATTTATGCCGCCATAGCGAGAAAGGGCGAGGATGCGAGGAGGCACGAAAAGGCCAAAGGATACGGCGATGACGAGGTCTACGGGGGCGGGTGGTGCCCAACCCGTGAATGTATCAAGTGCATGGGTGGGTAGGCTGAGCTCTTCAACAGCGACCTGTTTGATAGGTACTGTACTGGGTCAACGGCCTTGATGTCGCACATGGACAGGCATGTCTACCTTCTCTCAACGTCTTTAGTCCTCTTCCAGAAGGCTTGGCTGGGCGATGGAGCACTTGTACGCTATCTATAAGCTGGGGAACCCGACGCTTCGCGGCCACGACAGCGCGCAAGGATGCGATGCTGAAGTCATCTGATCCACAGAAGAGAATGCGCAGCGGTGAAGGCAATGCGGTGGGACAGCTCGGAGGGACGTAATGACGCCGCGAGGAGAGCAGCAGAGATCGGATCGAGCCTGACAGTCGCCACAGCATGGTTCGGAGGTGAAGAAGACGGTCGGCCATGGGCTCGGAAGATGCCGCGCCCTGCGACACGGCCATGTTACGATCGCTATGTCGTGGGGCATCTTCACCTCCGATGACAGTGACAATCGGCCATGTCCTTGGCTCCCTATATGGTTCGGCGTCATGTCGCTCTCTGCTGGTCATGGCCCATCTACAAATAGTCTCGGGCGACCGTTGGCGTGTGGCTGGCAGGGTACACCTACGTATGTACATTCCTGCGTACCTACGTACATATAGTACGCAACCGTGACGCAACACCCACCTGCCACCACGACCGCCTAGTCAACGCGCCTCGCGACTGGTGCCCTCGGCGCATACACGAATGTCGTCCACGGCGGTGCCCAAGGTCATTCCGGCCCAGCTGTCGTTTTTGGCCATCTACAGCCCCTCGTTGGGCACATCGGACGAAACATTTGACCAGCAGATTGTCTTTTACTACTCAAAGGCCGCAAAGACACGCGCCAAGCTCAGAAATGGAGACGCGCAGCAAGAGCAGGACCTGCGCGACCAGGAGAATGAAAAGCTACGCCAGGTCGGCCTAGCACAGGGCATGGTGGGATTTGCAAAGTAGGGCGCATGGCACTGCACCGCCGCTTCGCTTTGTATGCGCTGGCACTAATCCGGCGACAGGAGTTTCTCCAATGGCGAGGCCATCGACACTGTCGAAACAGAAAAGTCGCGCATTGTTCTTCACGAGCTGGAAAACGGGTGGTGGATATTGGCTGTATGCACATTCTCGTAGAGGCGACTACCACCCACTAACATGGTTCCAGTCTATTGATCTCACTCAACTACCCGCTGCCTCTGGCCTCACCCGAAAAGACTCCAGCACCGACACCACAGAGCCTGTAATCGAATACTCCTCGCGCGAAGTCAGCCCGCCGGCGCTCCTCATCCAGCAACTTGTCCGCGCTCAACTCATCTTCCTGCTGCATCATGGCTTGACGCTCGAGGGCATGTTTGCCAAGCATGGCCGTACCAAGTTCTGCAGCATACTCGACAAGTATTGGTCACGGTTTGCGTCTAGTTGGGATGTACTCCTCCACGGGAGCCCAGCGGTGGATATATTTGGCGGCATGAAGCTGGCAGCAGGCGGAGAATTGGGCATGGGCGTGGGTGAAGAGGAGTGGGGCAGCAGTGAGCGCGATGTCTTGGAGGACTTTGCCCGCAGGACACCGGGCCTCGTTGATGTCATGGTATCTCGTTTCGGCGAAGTATCGCCATTGCAGCAAGCCAAAACATCCACCGACCCGCGGACGCTCGATGATTCTGAACTGGACCCATGGGTTGGAGTCGGAAGGACCGCTCAGGCTGCGGACGGTGTTGTCTTCTCAGGTCTAGGGGCAGTGAGCCGGAAGTCGCTGCGAGACTTGTCGCACTGGGTAGAAAACATCTACTGTTATGGCGAGTACGCCTATGGTGTGCGTGATAACCCAGCTTCCGATCGAAAGAAACGACGGAGAAGGAATCCAAGGACTGCACTCGAATCAGAAGAACCAACGCCCGACTCACTTCGCCCTACACGACCCGAAAGACCACGCCTTGCCGTATCAAACCAGAACTCAGCCCTACCTCTGGGCATCCCTCCACCAATAGTTAGAGCGGCCGAGAGCTCTCTTGACAAAGCCGCTGCCGCCGTCGACAACAAGAAGCCTGACCAAAGTTCACCCGCACCCGAATCCAAGTCCATGTTAGCGTCTCTGGGTGACACCGAGACGTGGACGAAGTACATGACCCTTGGTTACGGCACAGCGTGGGGTGGAAGGAAGACAACGGATAGCCCCCAGCCTGCTAGTCCAGCACCTGAGCCCGCTCCAGCGCCCGAGCCAGCACCTGTACGGAAACGAAGCCCTTCACCAGAAGCCATGCGATACGTGGAACCAACACCAGATGTGGACCATGTAGAGGAGAGGGCAAAGCAACAAATACGACTGGAAAACAACGGATATTTCCTCGTAGGACTCAAAGGCGACCTACAAGACTTGGATGTCGACGATGAGAACGACGAAGGTAACTGGAATAACCGAATACCATTACGAACCATACATGTCGAGGTCGACCGCAGAGACGTCTCGTCGAGCTCCCCTGACGTCGAATCTGACGAGACACCACCATACGAACGAATAATGAACATACCCCCACCAACCTCAAGCAAACTCTCCCGGCTCCGACCAGTCGTCTACATAGTAAGTTCAACTCCTCCACTCTTCTCCCCCCTCCCGACAAAAAAAAACCTAACAGCTGCTAGCACCGCCCCTTCATCTACGTCTTCCTCTTCGAACACCGCACCCACTCTCTCGGCGTCGCATCCTTCTACCGCGATATCCACAACTTCTTCTCTCCGCTCCACCGCTCCCTGGACAAATCCACCAACCCCACAAACGTCGCCCAGCGCCTCCAAGCAGTCTCGTCGCACTACACCACCGAAGCCGAAGCCGGCGGCTCCGGTCCCACCGCCGGCCCAAACACCCAACCAATCTACGACCTCGTCTTCGATCCCCGGATGCTAACCGTGCATTCTGGCTTGCCCAACATCCCGGACCCGGGCACTTTGCTCGCAGAGGGTCTAGCAGCGAGGCAAGCAGGATGGAGCAGGTTGGACGCACTAAACGTGCACTCGCAAATGCTCGCCACCGTCGCCTCTACACGCAGAAATCTCAGTGAAATCGAACGAACTTGCAAAACAAACCGTGGCTGGTGGGTCGTCTGGATGCGCCTCCCACCTTCGCACGTCGAGCCTCAGGAATCAGATTTAAACTACCGTGAGTATCGCGAGTTGCAGCAGCAGCACGGTCAACACCAGTCGGATGAAGAAGGACAAAAGGTACCGGAAGAAAGAGAGCACGACGCATCAACGCCGACAGAAGGAACGGGTTCTGTACCGTTTAATACTCAGGATCTGCGCGAAGCGTTTCTGGTGAGACGTGCGAGAGATTCAGATCCTGCGGCGCAACATGGACATAAGAGTACAGGTAGTCGGTTTGGGAGCGGCGTGTGGAGTGGACTAGGGATGGGTGGTGGTGGTGGGAATGGGAGTGCACAGAGTCAACGCATGGGAGGGGCGGCGGCGGGGTGGGGGCCGAAAGGGTTGGCAGAGGGGATTGGGATTGATGCGAGGAGGTATGTCGAGGATTTGTTGAGTTTGAATAGGTGAAGTAGGATGTATAATACATGTTTAGTAGATAGATGTGAAGGTACTTTAATGCTATGATGATTGGATTTGATCAAGGAAGAGGTTGAGTGAATAGTTCTATGATGCATGTGCAAATACAGATTGTAAAGGGAAAGCGGTTGAGATTTGGTTGGTATAATGGTGGGTGGTGGTGGTGGGCAAGGTGGAGTGTGAGGTCCACCATTGAACCTCACGTGTCCCACCCAGCACAAGACCAAATGTCTATTGAGTCCCCACAAGGATAACGAGACGCAACATGCATGTACATTTGTCTAAAGACGCAACGGTGGGTAGAATCTCCTCAAGTCCCACACCTTTCCCAAAAAAAAACGACCATCAGATGCGGGCATCCTGAACGCCCTTAATAAAAACGACTTTGTACCCTAGCATCATGATATCCGATGACCCGTATAAATTTCCCTTCGCTGCCTTGTCTCTCAAAATGCATGCAAATCGCCAAAAAAAGGGAACTACGAAGTATCCATAGCCTCACTTGCTGATGCTGCCGCGCCGGCATTGCGCTCGGCCATCTTTTGAGCGAGACGATTCTGCTTCCAGGCCTGAATCTCCTCACGAAGTGCGTCATTTGGAATCACGTCCTCAATCTTGAGCGGCGTACGATTGAAAGGGTCAT